CCATATCTCCCCATCACCTAGTTACACATTAGCAAGAGTACTTCCTTCTCATGAGACACTCCTTGCCCTTTCCCCCAAAGCCTAGATAGACTCCTTGACTCCCTGGGCAGTCCAAAATCCTTTGCTCACTGTCTCTTGTGACCTCAAGAGATAAACACCATCGGTGTGTGCTGTTGAACTCGGGACCTTATAGTTTTCTAAGACTCGGTGTAATGGTAAAAATAAAATGGTGCTGTTCCATGAGTGGCAGCAGTGGCAGCAGCGGGCAGCGGGTCATCAGGGGCAGCAGTGGCAGCAGCGGGCAGCGGGCCATCAGGGGCAGCAGTGGCAGCAGCGGGCAGCGGGCCATCAGGGGCAGCAGTGGCAGCAGCGGGCAGCAGGCCATGAATGGCAGCAGTGGCAGCAGCGGGCAGCGGGCCATCAGGGGCAGCAGGTCCCCACATGGCAGGTGAGAGACAGAGACAGATAGGCACACTATGCAGAGAAAGTGGATATTTATTTAGTGGGTTATGGAGGGGAAAGGGGAAAGGGAGAAGGGGAAGAGCAGAGAGAGGCAGAGATAGAAAGAGAGAGAAACAGAGAGAGAGAGAGAGAGAGAGAGAGAGAGGAGAGGGAAAGAGGAGAGGAGAAGCTACCTCTTCAGGAGAGAAATGGAAAGGGAAGAGCTCAGGCTGAAAGAAGAAGGAAGATCTGCTTGCCTTGGCAGACCAGGGAGGGGGTGGGCAGGGCATGTCTCTTAAAGGGACAGGACAGACCATTACACTCAGGAGCTAGAGAACTGAAGATCTCAAGAGTAACCTCTCTCCTTTCAGTTTAGTTATAGCTCAAGGACTTTTAGTTGGTGAAGTATTTTTTACAAAACTTTGCAAAACTTGGGGATCACTGCCTGTGCCCCCACGAACCAGGTCTGGCCACTATCAACAGAACATCAGCTCTCTCATCAAAGTAATAAAACTATTATGTCCAGATCACAGAGTCCCCCCAAAACCAACTAGGAGACCAAGTCCTGTATGTAAAAGCAAAGAGCCTTTATTCTCACACAAGTTTGCAAACTTGGAATCTCCATGTGTCCATCATATTGCAGTGGTCGGAGAGTTCCAAGCTCAGTTAGGGTTGAGTTTTTATAGAGGCAAAGGTGGAGGTGAGGAATTTCTAAGGTTCAGGACCCCTGATTGGCTGACATTTGTCTAGGGGTGTCCTGTGGAAAAAAGATGGGTGTGTTCTGGCAGGAGATCCTATTAACAATGGTTGGAACCTTAGGAATTTCCCCTGGGTGATACCTGGGTGGTCTCAGTTTGTGGTCTTTCTTGGAACTAGGTAATTCCTTAGGGTAAACTACTGAGACTCAGGCCTCTATTGAGCTTGTCAGGGCTGGGTCCTACAAAAACACAGATTATTCTGGAGCCAAAAACATGTGTCTATGGCCTGGAAACACAAATATAGATCTCCCACATATCACATCATATGAGTCTATTCTTTCAAATAAAGTCTTTGAAGGGTCTTCCTCCCCTAACTTAGGGTTAGTGGCTGATTGGTACACAATAGCTATCTAAACATACTCTGATCTGCTTTGAACTTCTTGAAGGAGCAGGTGAGTCCAACTAGTTGGGGGGGGGGGGGGCATATAATGGTGAAAACAAAACGCTGCAGTTCCCTGAGGGGTGCAGTGGCAGAAACGCTGCAGGTTCCCAAGTGGCAGCAGCAGGCAGTGGGCCACAAGACCACAGTGGGCCATGAAGGCAGCCAGGTCCCAGGCAGGAAGCTGTGCAGCAGATGAGAGACAGAAACCTGTCCCACGAGGACCCGTGGTAGGTGAGAGACCTAGACAGATAGGCACACCATGCAGAATGAGGTTGGATATTTATTTAGTGGGTTATGAAGGGCAAAGAGAAAGGAAAGGGTAGGAGGGAGAAGAGCAGAGAGGGAGGCAGAGAGAGAGAGAAACAGAGAGAAGAGGGAAGGGGAGAAGTGGGGAGAAAGGAGAGAAACAGAAGCTGCCCCTTTGGGAGAGGAAAGGAAAGAAATGGATTCAGGCTGTAAGCAGAAGGAAGATCTGCCTGCCTTGGTGGTGGACAGGGGAGGGAGTAGTCAGGGCTTGTCTGTTAAAGGGACAGAGCATACCATTACATTCCCATCTCTTTTTTTATAATAAAAAGGTGGGAGGCCAGACACATCAGGTTAAAGGAATTAGAGCTGCAGATTCTCAAGACTGCTCCCTGCTTATTTGTGGGCATTGTCTGGGAGGAGAAACCTGAGAAAGCTGGGTGCTGGTCACATCCTGGAGTAGCTGGACTCTTTGTTCCTGCCCAGTGTTTGTAGTATAGAAATGTCTGGTGTCTCTTACACCTGTTTAAGGTATTGGCAAAACAGAGAACAAAGTTAAGTTCAGGAAAAATGTTTTTAGGACCAGAGAGTTGAGAGGGGTGTATCTGATCTGTTTAAGGTGGATTATTCAATTCAGCTCCCTGGAACTCACAAAAATTTTTGATTTTATTAAAACATAAGTTTTAAACATATGCATTTTATAAACAGTAGCAACTTATGTCAGAATGACTGTGACAGATATTTTGCATAATGGAAGTATTTTTAAGATTATGAAAGGCAGCATGAGAGAAAAATTTGATAGCATGAACTTGTCCTCACACCTTTATAAATTGCAGGTACACACCTTAATAACTTGTATTTGTATTTTGCTGAAATTTCTTTGGTGATGTTATCCTTTTAAACTAACAAAACCTCTCAGGTGTCAAACTGCATCAGAGATCTCTGAGAAGAATAAATTTTTACTTGAGTTTTTGATTTAAAAAGACAGAGAACTTGGTTGGCACCTAGAGCTACTCCTCAGGGTCCTCCATGGTGGCTGAGGGTCATATTTGCCTTTTGCTGTTTAGCACAGGGCCTGCCAGGCTCCAGATCCTGTGGGCTAAGAAATCGGTAGGAAGACAAGCCTGCCTTGACCTGAGCATCTAGGCTGTGGATTCCAGCGATTCTGTCCACATCTGGAGATCTTCAGTTTAGATGAAAGGCAGTTTTGCCCAGTGGTCAGCATTTGGTAGTTGAAACAAATTGCAGATGGATGTTGTTCTGTGCCCATTTGTCTTCCATGACAGGTACAAAGAAGGCTTTTCAAAACAAACTGGCTTGCTAGAGCACCCGACTGGTAAACTCTAGATTCGGTAGCAGACCTTGCCTCAGTAAATAATGTAGGGAGTGACTGAGGAAGACACATGACATCAGCCTTAATCCTCGACATGCCTGTATGCACACATACACATACACATGCACATCTACACACATAAACATGCATATACACGTGTGCACACCACACACGTACAAAAATCTTAAAAATCAAACCTTGAGATGCATATGGAAAGTAGTCAGAGGATCCTACCCCCAGTAACCAACATTGTACACCTTACACAGAGTGATGGACCACACTGCCTCCATCTTAGGCTTGAAAGCTCTCCTAGAGTAAAGACAAACTAGGCTTATTCCTGTTTATGATTAAATCTGTTTCTCAAAGATAGGGCTATGCCCCAACTGTAACCTTCACTACAAATGGTTCTGTACTGCCTGTTCCAGGAAATGGAAGCCATGCCTTTGTTTCAAAGGGCTATTATGACCCCCTTGTGATGACTGCCTTGTGACCATCTTGCAAGCATGTCTCCGCTTCAGGTTGTTATGGCCAACTTGTTATGCGATGTTCTGCCTCTGTCACCTCACTTACTTGCCTGCCAAGTCCCCCAATCAAAAAGCCCCTACTCCTGAACTATAAAAATCCTTATCTTGCTAGGCATGGTGGCACAAACCGTTAATCCCAGTACTCAGGAGGCAGAGGCAAGTGGATCTTTGAGTTTGAGGCCAGTCTGCTCTACAGAGTGAGTTCCAGGACAGCAAGACTACACAGAGAAACCCTGTCTCAAAAAAATTAAAATAAACAAACAAACAAAAAAGAACCAACTCAGTTCAATCCAAGTATGGTTTGAGATGTCTCGGGGAATTTGATCAATTAAAGATGAAAATAATGAGATATAAATAAGGAAGATATTTTGTAAGGCTTGTGGGCTGATTGAAAGTTGGCCATAAACCAAGTAGAATATCTTAATACAAAAAAAATTCCTGGGTGTGTTAAGGTAATATTTATAAACTATGAGACAGTTAAACATATTATTCTAACCTACAGAATAGTAATTAAAGCTCTAGTAATACTGAGTATTATTTTCACACCCCAAAGCACCCTCAGGATTGTTTTTTAGAAAACTCGTCAAACTATTAATGAGATGGCTCAATTGGTAAAGCGCTTACTACAAAAGCATGAGGGCCTGGACTCAACCCCAGCATCCACTAAGAAGCTGGGGTGTTGGTGCATGCTTTTAATCCCAGCACAGGGGAGGCAGAAGCAGGCGGATTCCTGGGGTCTACAGGCCAGGCAGGCTAGTTTAAGTGCTGAACCCCAGGTGACAGTGAGAGACCCTGGGCGGCTGGTTTCTGGGGAACATCCCAGGCTGACCGCTAGTCTTCACACGAATGGATGCACACGTACTATCCACACATCCACAATTTGCTGGGTGTGCCTTCCAGTATGTATTTTTTGCTTAACTCTAATCTTGTCAATACCCCACTTCTTGCAAGCTTCACAGGCCACTTGACTTTTGGAATGCAGGGGTCATTAGCAGGAAATTCCAGACCTTCCCGGCCTTGTTTTTCTCACTAAGCTTGGCTCTTCTTCCAGCGTACTGCGCAAATACTTATTCTGCTCTGACAGAGAAATCAGGACCAGATGACCAGACCGTCGTCTCTATCTTAGCTCCGATAGGTCCGCGACACGTGAACGGGATGACAAAGTCGCTGGGCGGCTCCTCCACCGCCGGGACTGCAAGCTTAGCTCAGAGTGGGGAAAGGCTCCGCCAGATCCGGAGCACAGGCGGGACTGTAAGCCCCGCCCACCAAGCCCCGCCCCGGCCAGAACGCCCCACCTCCGAAGGCTGTAGACCGGCGTGCTTTGCGCCCGCTGGGTCCGGCGCGGGAGTCTCGCTTTCCAATGGCTTCTGCAGAGGTGAGCGCTCGCGGGTAGCACTGAGAGGGACGTTCTTCTGCTTCCGGTTGCTGTCGGGTTCCGGCTGCAGGAAGCCTGTGGGTCAGGGCGGAGGGGTGTGGGGGACCCTTCTAAAGCCAGAATCCTCCATCCACTGCTGGGCCCGCCGCGGAGCTCACAGACTGACCCCGGCGAGTTTGTTGGCCGTCTCTGCAGGACCCCGCCTTAACTAGCCTCAGTTTCCTCTGGGAAAGAGTGGCTTAAATGGTGTGACTCAGAACCCTGCCTTCTGTTTGCAGCAGTACATTGCTTACCAAACGCTCTGTGTGGATAGGAATACAATGACATTTTATCCAAAGAGAAATAGAATGATAATTAGTGGCATAGTATAGTCACAGACGAAATAAAGTGCCCGGAATGTTCAAAAGTGCGCCTGTGAGACCCTGTCCCAAAAAAAAAAAAAAAAAAACAAAAACCAGCAAAACAGTATTGACTATGTATGATGGTAAGTCAGGTTGATGGACCGTTTTGGTCTATTCGTGTACATGCAAGAATACAGTTTTTTTTTAAGTGAATCACCTGCTGTGGTTCCCAAGCAGCCTGTGATCAAATATTGAGCCTGTACTATCAGTGGCTAACATGCCGCACAAAGTACTACACAATGCATGTCCTGGCTGACAGGAGTTTATTTTCCTTTAATTCGAGATGCTGAAGGTCCAAGACAATAAACCTGACCCAACGACACTTATTTTCACAGCTGGAAATCAACCTTTGTGGTATAGGTTCCTGTGTTGTGAGTGTTTTCCTTTGTATCGAGTCCACCAGCTGCAAATCACATGTGTTTGGGGGAAGTTTCCATCGGTACTGAGCATGGCTTTTTTCCCCTAAGCAATGCAGCGCCACAACAACACATGTAGCATTTGCGTTGTAATAGGTACTGTAAGTGATCTAGAGTTGACATAGAATATAGGTAATGGCCTGCTTGTTAATCCCAGCACTTGGAAGGCAGAGATGGGAGGATAGATCTCTGTGAGTTTGAGGCCAACCAGATCTACAGAGAGAGTTCCAGGACAGACTCCAAAGTTACAGTGTAACATGAAGGGGCCTGGCTTGTTTGTTGTTTGTTTCGCCCTTTACCCCACAACTGTTTAGCCCCAAAGAAAATCACACATAGGTCTCCATAAATTATACGCTGATTGGCCCATTAACTCTAGCCTCTCGCTACAGAGAAACCCTGTCTCAAAAAACTAAAAGGAAATATATATATATATATATATATATATATAATAAGTTACATATATATGTAATTTACAAATACTAAATTGTTTTTGTGAGAGATGAGCGTCTGAAGATCTTGGAGTCTGGGGGGCCTTGAATCTAATCCCCTAAGGATATGCATATGTAGTGTGTGTTTATGTATAATTTTTTAAAACTTCCTTATTTCTTAGTATTACAGGTATTTCCTAGTACAGTTAGCCTTCCGTGTCCATGGGTGCATATTCAGTCAACCAAGGATTAAAAACATACAAGGCAGACTGTGCCCACTGAGCTTGCGGACATTTAGTTCAGAGTCTAACTGTATATGTAGTGTTATGTTGTATTTGGTATTATAAGTAGTATCGAGATGATCTAAAGTATATGGGAGATGTGTGCAGGCTGTACACAGCCCATATGCTGTGTATGGTATGCTCTCAGAACTGTATCTAGCATATAGTAAGTACCCGTGAATTATGCATAACGGTTTGTTCTTAGTTAGAGATGTACCGTGGGCCGAGTGCCAGCTAGAGTGAGGCTGTGCAGTGGTTAGTGCTGTGTCCAGCCATGGCGATAAAACTAGTACAGCCTTTGCCAGACACCGCGAGACCCTGAAATGTTTTCTGTTTGTTACCACAGCCACCGCGGCCGCCGTCACACACCTGCCTGGCAGATGGAGAACTGATTCCGTGAAGCCCCCAGGTGGTCTGGCTCTGGAGCCCAGACTCTAAGAACCGTGTGGCCCCAGAGGCTGCTCAGTCTGTAACCTGACAGAATCACCGGCTGACTTCTCTTATTCTTGGCCACATTATCTGCAGAAGCAGTACTCATGGCTGGTCCTCTGTGGAGGGCCGCAGCCTTTATACAGAGACACAGGTCAGGCCTCTTGGTGGGTTCCTGTGTGGGCCTGTTTGGGGTTCAAATCTCATTTCACCTCTTCTCAGATCCCATAGTCCGATGGCTCTACCAGTACTGGCCTCAGGGCCAGCCGGCTCCTCTTTCCCCTCAGCTCCAGAAGCTCTTCCAAGAGGTGCTACAGGACATGGGTGTCCCCTCAGGTCACTGCTTCAAGCCTTTCACTGCCTTCACTTTCCAGCCCGTGAGTGCTGGCTTCCCAAGATTTCCTACTGGGGCCATGGTGGGAATCCCTGCCATCTTCCTGGATGGCTCTGTGACCGCCATTGACCATACTGTGATCATACATGGGCAAAGAGTGGATTGGCAGAGCCCAGCAGGCACCAGGCTGAGAGACGCCCTGACCCTGTCTCATAATGCTCAGAAGTTTGCCTTAGCCAAAGAGGTAATATACCTGGAGAGCAATGCTGCTGCCCTGCAGAGCCTGCCAGCCCCGGCTTGCCTCGCAGGAACCTGGGTACTAAGTGTAGGTGTCAAGCATGCCCTGGGGCTCTATAGAGGCCCCATGAGCCTTCGAGCTGCCTTCAATTTGGTGGCAATAGTGGCAAGCTTCGTGTCCTACACTTTTTCCAAGGACTCCCTCACTGTCGCCCTGGAAGGCTGGCTGGACCGCCGTACAGCCTCTCTGTCTGCAGCCTATGCCCAGGGTGGAGTGGAATTCTATGAGAAGATCCTGTCGGGCAACCTGGCCCTCCGAAGTCTCCTGGGCAGACAAGGGGAGAAGCTGTACACACCAAGTGGAAACATCGTTCCCAGACACTGGTTCTGCATTAGACATTTACCCTACACCACCCGCCGGGACTGTCTACTACAGATGTGGAGGGGGGCACTCAACCCAGGGCGCTCCTGAGAAGCCAGGCAACAGAGCACCCCTGGTTCACATAGGCACCACCCTGTGATGAATTCTGGGGGAGTCTCTTGATATGGTTGCTTCCACAGCCCAAGGTCAGAACAGTGACCATCTTTGGAGTTAAAGAGCTCAATTCTGCCCTCACCATGAATGAATGTGGTATCTGTGGGGTGAGTCCCTAAATGAATCTGAGTCATGTTTGCCTCAGCTGGGAAGTGGGAAGGGTTGATTGGAGGATTACATGAGATTGTGAGCCCAAGGGGCTGGTGGCAGAGAGAGAGCAGCAGAAATAAATGGTAAATGGGGTGCTCATCCTTCTCGGTCTCTGAATCCCATGGAAGTCACCCATGAGTCCCCGCCAGACATGCTTCTACATGTTCTACAAACACCACTAAAATGAAAATTAAAAACAGAACAAGGTGGAGAGTGGTAGACCAGGACACCTGACATCTTCCTCTGGCCTCAGTGTGCACACATGGGTGTGCACCGCACTTGTACACACAGAGTAGAGATGGTCTTTTCCAACAGTTACCCTAATCCTATAGCAGTGAAGAATGGCCAGTGTTCCTGAGCTGTGATAAAAGTGATGCAAGCATATACTCTTGGTGACAGTTGACTCTTTGACCCAGTAACTGAAAACACTTGAATTTGTGCTAGGAGTATAACACACAGGCTTAAGTAGTAGATGTCTGAACATATATAAGAACGTGCATATGCTGTAAGTAGTTTTAAAAATAGAAGTAGTGGGAATGTTGAATAGCAATTACTTAGAAAACCATGAATGTTGTTTAGGTACAAATGGTATTCAGAAGGCTGAGGATGGGGCTCAGTTGACAGGGTGGTTGCCTAGCAGCACAAAGACCTGAGTTTGATTCTCAGCACCAGGCATGGCGATGCAAATCCCAGCATTCAGGAAGGAGAGAGGCCATCGGTTCACAGCTATCCTTGGCTATATGAATTTGAGACTAGCCTGGAATACATGAAACCCATCTCAAGAAAAGAAACTAACCATGAGAACTAGTAGTCAGAATATGTGTCAGAATATTGGTTATCTCTCTCTCTCTCTCTCTCTCTCTCTCTCTCTCTCACACACACACACACACACACACACACATTGATAGTCAAAAGGAATTTTAAAAAAAACAAGACTTGTGTATGACAGCCACAATAATGAAAACATGTAAGACCTGGGAGAAAACTCGTGTGTGTAAAATAATATTTAAAGGAGCCTGAACTTTACACCCTCTTTCTGCCTCAAGGTGACAGACCCTGGCATCCCTGCTTCTGGCCCTACATTATTGGGGTGTGGCCAACCATCTCTCTGTCAGTAGTTGTGGAAACCATGAAAGCTCCTCACCTGCTGTGGGAGCAGATTTCACTGGCAGCTCCAGTTGTTTTTGTAGATCAAGAAGCTGTGCATGGAAAGGGTGACAGTGCCCCCTGCTGGCAGCTCCTCTCCAGTGGCTCTTAGACTCCTCATGGCTCCAGGAAGCCTTTCGGAGAACTCCGGTGTCTGGGGCTCTTCCTCTGCCCTCTCCTGTGATAGGAGGATTTTTTGGAGCTAGAGAGATAGCTCGGTCAGTAGAGAGCTTACTTTGCAAGCATGGGGAATGAAGTTAGATCCCCAAAACCTACATTCTTAAAAAAGCCATGCTTGTAACTCAGGAGGCAGAGACAAATAGATTCCTGAGGCTCACTGGCCAACCACCCCAGCCTATTCATTGATTTCCAGGTTAATTGAAAGACAGTTTCTCAAAAAGCAAGATTAAAGACAAAGACAGAATAAGGCACTTGCCACCAAATCTGACCACCTGACACACATGGAGTCTCATTCACAGCATCTCCTAAACCAGGCATGATGCTGGATGCCTACAATCTCAGCACTCAAGAGGTGGATGCAGAAAGATCTCAAGTTCAAAGTCACCCTCAGCTACATAACAAGTATGAGGCTAACCTGAGCTATGTGGAACTCACTTGGAAGAAATCAAACCGCTTATAAAAGCACACAAATAGCGGCTGTAAGACGCAGGCTGTGCCTACCAGCAGTGCAGCCACTCTTCTTTGAAGAAGATATGCCCATGAGTCACTGGTGCTGAGATGTTACTGACTGTGATGCCAGCAGAACTTGCTGGAAGTTTGCACTCTGGGTTGACAAAGAAGCCATCTACAGTAAGAGCTCAGAACACCATACAAAGCCAGCCAAGAGCCAGCTATGATGGCTCATACTTGTGATCCTGGCACTCGGGAGGCTAAGGCCTGAGCTCAAAGCCAGCCTGGACTATATGCTGAGGCAGCTGTTCACAGGACAGGGAGGGGGCTCATCAAAGCTCACTGCTGAAAAGCCTCAACAGGACAGGAAGAAGCCAGGGCAGGACCCTGGACAACTGGCTCTTCATGGGTAGTTCACAGTTTGCCTGGCCAAGTGGTGGACACTGTCTACTCACGAACTTGACTTTCCAAGATACCTAGTGACTCTCGGTGAATTTTCCCTGTGTGCATCTGTGTGTCTGTATATGTATGCATGTACATGTATGTGTAAGATGTGAATGTACACATGTTCATAGGCCAGAAGACAACCTCACTGTTCTTCCTCATGGCTTTTTTGTTTTGTTGTTTTTAAGACATAGTCTGTCATTGGTCTGGCGCTCACCAAGTGAGCAAGGCTGGCAGGCCAGTGTTTGCTGAGGACCCTCCTATCCCCACCTCTCCAACCCCAGAATTGCACCATATGCCACCTTGTTCAGCTACTTCTTTTCTTAAACATGGGTTCCAAACGTTGTCTGCACAGGAAATGGTCAAGGTCCTTGCTCTCTTCCATAGCAGTAAGGGCTCCTTGTCTCTTTGTGCCCTGAGCTAAGCTCCTGAGCTGGTGCAGAGCAGGGGACACCGCCGATGATTCTGTCGCTTGTGAGAACCCTACAGGTCCAAACATTCATGTCTTTGTCAAATTGTTAAGGTAGAAAAGAATTGGAGCCAGGGTCCTGGCATGCCCTAAAGGAAAGATCTACAGGTACCTCTCTGGGCAGCCTGGCCTTGAAGCCAGACAGCCTGAGTTAAGATACAGGTTCTGGGGTCAGACAGATGACTCAGAAGTGAAGAATGCTTGCGGCTCTCCCACAGGATCTGAACTCAGTTCCCAGCATCCACACAAGGTGACTCACACTGCCTGTGATTCTCGCTATGGGAGATCTGACAATACCTTCTTCTGGCCTCCTTGGCTACCCCGACACATGTGACATGTGCACACATACATGTGCATGCACACACAGGGGTTGAGGAGAGCTTATGGCTCTAGGCAGATGGTTCTGTGGGTAACAGTACTGTAGGATCCCCAGAACCCATGTTAAAAAACAAATGTGGCTGCACCTGTAATAACCCCAGCAATGGGAAGGATGAAAGCAGGATGGTCACTGGGACTTGCTGGCCTGTAAGCTTCAGGTTCAGTGAGAAACTATATCTCAAGGGAACAAGGCAGGGAATGATAGAGCAAGACATTCAACATCATCCTCTGTCCTCCACGTGTGTGCATGGACAATTTTAACACACACACACACCACACCACACATACACACTAGCAAAAACATCTGCCTCTGCAACTTGATATTCTGGGCATGCTAACCTTTCCGTGCCTCAGTTTCCCCATATGAAAGGAGGAGGAAATGGTGGCAATGCCCACTTCCTTCCTATCACAAGCTTTAATTTGTAAAGCACCTTCAACTGTGCCCAGAGTTGAAGTCTGGGGCTGAGCATCATTTTTGTTCCTGTCATTGCTGAAGGCACAACTGTCAGGAAGTCACTGAATCAGAGCCAGCCTGATGTGGCACTTACATAGAATCATTACAGGTGGCTGTGATAATGCGTGTAGTGGCAGCCATGCCCAGCTACATTAGAGCATCTCGTTTATGTATGTGTGTGTCTGTGTGGTGTGTGTGTGCATGTAGTGTATTGTGGTACATTTGTTAGTATTGGTACATGCATATGAACATGTGGTATATGTGGACATGTGTACGGATGCGTGTGGAAGCCAGACATCAGTGTCAGTTGTCTTTCCCTAGTCTCTTCATCTTTATTTTTGAAACAGAACCTCTTACCGAACCTGAAAATTATCAGTTTTCAGCTAGGCTGGCTGGACAATGAGCTCCAGCGATTTGCCTAGGTCCATGGGCTTGCCATGCCAAGCCCACCGCCATGTTCAGCATTTTAAAACAAGTACATATACTTATTGTATATGAATATTTGTATACATGTATGTATGTTCACTATGTACATGTCTGGTACCTGTGGAGGCCAGAATAAGATGCTGGATCCCCTGGAACTAGAGTTATGGATGGCTATGAGCTGCCATGTGGGTGCTAGAGACTGGGCCAGAGTCAGCATTTGGGGCATCTTGATTCAGGCTCTCATGCATAGCAGGCACTTTCCTGACTGACCCATCTCCCTAATCCATTTGTGTATTTGGCTCCACCCTGGCCTGGTACCCTTGTAAAAGCAGCAGTGGGCACCAGTCAGTGGTGGTGCACATCTTTAATCCCAGCACTCGGGAGGCAGACACAGGCAGATCTTTGTGAATTTGAAGTCAGACTGGTCTATAGAGTGAGTTCCAAGCAAGGATTACACAGAGAAACCCTGTCTCCAAAAATAAAAAAAAAAAAGGGAAGGAAGGAAGGAAGGAAGGAAGGGGAAGGGAAGGGAAGGGAAGGGAAAGAAAAGAAAAGAAAAGAAAAGAAGCAATGGAAATCACTGACCTCCTATTTCTGGCCCCTGACATTCAGTGTTCAGGAAGATTTTGCTGAATGAATTGAAGTGAGATGACTGATGGATAGAAGTGACATAAGGAAGGAAGATTTATTGGGTGGTAGAGAACCTTGGTCCATGGCTCCAGCAGTGTCTGTGAAAGCTGTTCACTTCACTGTGTATGCGCTCGTTAGTTCTAACGATCCTAGAGTCACCTAGGATGAGGGTTTCAGCTGAGGAATTGTCTAGATCAGGTTGTCCTGAAAGCATGTCTGGAGGGCGGGTCTTGATTGCTAATTGCTATAGAAAGACCCAGCCTGCTGTGGCAGCACCTTTCCCTAGGCAGGTGGTCCTGAACCGTGTGTTAAGAAGGCTGGCTGAGAGCATGCAAGGAAACATTAGTTTCTCCCTGCTCTTGACTTGTGGCTGTGCTGTAACCAGATGTTTGGTGAATGAGATGATCCCCATATTCTCAGGCATTTGAATACTTGGTCCCTAGTTGGTGACACTGTTTGTGTAGATTTAGGAGGTGCAGCCTCACTGGAGGGAGGGAGTTGCTGGGGTGAGTGTTTAGTCAG